GAGAAAGGAGATAGATAGGGTAAAGAGGTCTCCTCCAGTGGAGAAGAGAGTATCGTTGCTTGCCAAAAGGGAACAAGCTAGTTAGATTCACCAGACTCGGACTTCGCTTCTAATTGGGGAATAACATGAAGGATTACACTAGAATACTATAAGTTCCCATTCACTTTAGCATCTTGTAGTTGTTGGACGAATTGCCAAAGGGGGAGCTGTTCACTGCGAAGGAATCAGGCGTAGAGAAGATGACCAGCGGGAAGAACTTGATCTGCGTCTGCCATTGAGTGGTCAGCTGGAAGAACTTGACACCGGTCAGTTCAACACCGTCGATGTTCACTGTAAACACATGAAAAAGTTACAGTTAAAATTGACCTAAAGAGCCACTAAGGAATCAGGCCTACCTTTGATCGGTGACTGTGTGGCCTTGTACGAGCACACCAGTCGACAGATGCCTTCCACCACTTGACACTTTGACTCGTTTTCCTTCTCTTTCTTCTTTCCCAGTCGCATAACTAAATATAAAAGCTCGGTTAGCACAGAACCTATTTTAGCTCCCCTTTTGCACTAGACATACTCTGTTTCTTCTTTTCCTTGAGCACGTAGAAGAGCGTCAACGATGATATGCTCTGCTCGCCCAGCATCGGCAGTCGAGAGATTTGCAAGTTGCGGAAGCAGTTCTTCAGCGTAAACTTGCAGTTATCACTCTTCTTCGCCTCCTTATTCGAGAGATCATTCAGTTTCTGCTGCACCGTCCAGTAGTCAATCTGCAGGTCAATCGCCTCGCTCGCCAGTGCGTCCTTCTCCTTCTCCTTCTCCTTCTCCTTTTCTTTATCCTTCTCCTTTTCCTTTTCCTTCTCCTTGTGCTCCCTCTCCTTATCTGCCTTTCCTCCGCTGCCAGTCTGGCTTAGAAATGTCTGGTTCGAAGATATGCTCGGTGAGTTGGGCGGAGTGAGGGACATTGACGCGTGCTGATCCTTCGTCGACAGTGGCGAGGTGACCGACTTCTCACTGGTCGCAGCATTTGCCGCCCCCGTTGTCTGGCTGGGGGTACCGCCCACGACAAAGGTGGCGTCATCGTTATCCATTGAGTGGTTGCCGTATATGCTGTCAAGCAGACCTGGTGGAGCAGAAGTGATCGATAAAAGTAATGAATGACCCTCAAAAGGGGAACTTACCAATCTTGGCATCACTGATAAAGGGAATAAAGACCTGACTAGGTTCATCTTCACCGGTCTTGTCCTTGTAGGTGACCATCGCCTCGGCAATTGGTATCTGCAGCAGGGTTTGCGCACCATTCAGGTAGTTGACCACCTTGCTGTACAGCTCCTGAACACTGACGAGGGAGCCCCCAGCACCGCCACTGCTTCCAGCGACAGCACCAGCAGAGGAAGCAGCAGCAGCTTCAGATGAGCCTCCGGCGTCTCGACTAGATTCCACCGAGTCCTTGCTGGTGTGAAAGTAGCCAGCATAGGCAGGGTCAATGCTGGCGAGGTACTTGTGCAGTGGGGAGGATGACGCCGGCGAGGAGGAGTTGATGAAGCTGGCAGGAATCAGGTAGAAGCGCAGGTAGGTCTGCCAGTCGGGAGATTTAGAGCTGAGTAGATCGACGTAGATGCGCAGAAATGAGTTCACGTACGCCTCAGAGCCAATGAGCGCCAGCTTAATGGGAATCGGCGTCTTGAGGTTACTGTTGCAAAACTTCTGGATCTTGTTGCAGAGAAAGGTAAACGAAAACTTGACGTCTGACAGTGTGTTTGTGCCAATGATATGGTGCGTCCGCTCAAAGACGGCCATCAGCAGGGCTGCTTGTGCACACTCAGCCATGTTGATGAAGAGAATCTCGTCGGGGATGTTGTGCTCATCAGAGGAGAACACTTTGTTCAACTGCTCAAGAATAAACTCTTTTGGCTGTGGAGAAAAGAGAATAAATCAGAGGTGACAATTAGAACAACTGGGAAGCAATAAAATTAGCATAATCACAGTCAATCACTTACACTGCTGTCGTCTTTGCTCATCGACGCACTGGTAAGGGAAAGCGAATTGCTCACAGGTTGTTTTCTCTCTTTCGGCTGGCTTTTGTTTTCCTTGTCTTTGGCAGTGGGAAAAAGCTTCACCCGTTTCACCTCCTTGTCATTTACGGCCTTCTTCTTTGTCTCTTCGCTCTTCTTCAGGCTCACGGGCTCCTGTGGCTCCGTGTGCTTCTGACTGGTGTCAGAGGTGTCAGGCGTCTGCTCAGCACCAGAGTTCTCCTGGCTATCATTGTCAAAGGGCTTCTTCCCTTGAAATGCAGGAAACTGTTGCGTAAAAGGACAATTAATTGATAGATGAGCAAAAAAAATTAAAAAATACTCCAATCCTCAAACGCATACCTGCTCTTCCGGCTTGTCCTGGCCGACGAGAGTGCACGAGGAGAAGAATGGCCTTAGACTGGGCTTTGGCGTTGACGATATGCTGACGTCATCAAACTCCTGTCCACTGTCGCTCATGTAGTCCAGCTCGTCGATGTCGTCGTCGTCAAAGTACTCGTCAATATCCGCTGGCTCCTGATTGCTGCTCATCAGCTCCTTCTCCAGCGCCTCCTGGAACTTCTCCTCCGAGTCGTACACGCCCTCAGAGTCGGGCAGTCGAAACTTCTTGAGCAATGAAATGAACTTCTGCTTTAGATTGCGTTGCTGCACATTCGAAGGTACGCCCGACTGGAACTTGTCATTGCCTGAGAAGAGCTTTCTTGGCTTTCGGCTGTTCACTTTGCGCCGGAAGTGATTCATCCGATCGCGAGCATTACCCTCCTCGATTGTCTCACTATCGCTGCCGTCTTCCGCCGAGGTAAAGTCATCCTCGTCGCTGTACACATCTGGACGGTCAATTGACACCTTTCCCCGGCGAAGGTTGCTATCCTGATCGATTGGCTGACTGCGCAGAGTGGAGATGGTAATGCGAGCCAGGTTCTCATTTTTGCCCGACTCTTTGACGTGCCCTATCAGATCAATGTCCTTCTCGACTATCGTTGAGCGTTGTAAAACTTCGGCCATGTCAATAACACCACATGCTAACGTTTTGAAACCTGAAAAGGGGTGCACGCATCATTTAGAAATTAAAACTGAAAGGGGTTGGGCAAGCACAAGCAATGAAACGTACCGAGGATGGCCTTGTTTTTATACTTTTTGCGTCGCTGTAGAATGATTTGTAAGTAGTTGCAGTTTCGTTTGAGAAAGTGAGGATATTGAAGTGTGAAGGACAAATCGAGCTCAATGTCAGCGGAAGCAGGAGAGTCACTGGTGTGCGATGGTAGCGCTATGGCAATCTCATTAGAGCGTAGAATGCGCTTGGAGTTTTGCATCTTCACGGCCACAATGATTGCAGTCACATCCTGTCGCATGGATGGCGTCCAGCTGAGGCGATTGATGTTCAGTGAGCACAATCTAAAGGGGAGGGTGGTGGTTGTAGCTGTTAGGGGTACTGAAGTGCTGCCAAAGTGTGAATCACCCTTACCTTGGAATACAGTCCGGCGGGGTCTTGTCAATCTCCCAAGCTCCGAAGAGCTTCATCTTCACCGGTTTGCTGGACCACATTGTGGAGGGCTTTACGTTCGACTTTTCAGCCATTGTGAGGAGGATGACAGCTACGAGTGCGACTGGCTGATCGACAGTGCGTCTGCAGTTGGATCGCTGTGAGAAGGGAAGAGAAGGGGGAGGAGGAGGAGTGATGCAGTTGATGAGTGAGAGAGCAAGTCAGCCAGAATCATAGTGTCATATAAATCGATTGCAGTTAATGGTAAACAGAGACAACCGTACAAGCACACACACACACGCAACAACAACAAGAAGAACAACAACACCAACAAGCACTAATCGGACTAATGGGGCGATATCTGCAAAAGTGCGGTCAACTGTGTCCAGCGACACACACGGCCACTGAACAGAGTGCGAGAGACGACAAAGTAGAAGCTGAAGTCGAATCGACGCTGAGGCGCACCAAATAATGAACGCTCGATTGAGAGACGGCGACGACGACAACGACGAAGTTTGAGAAGGACTGGTCGGGGAAGAGGAGACGGATTGCTGTGAGCACTTCAGTGTACAGCTGACGATTAAGACCGTTTAGATTGTTTACTCGACTGTAAATTTGCATTGCCTTCTGTGGTGGAGCACTGGCGCAGCGGTGATAGTTCGGGTGACACAATGGCAATCAGCACAGTGTAACATGACTCGCCACTCGGCCATTACACTAATTGTACTGTCAGGGGGGGGGGCTGTGCAATGCCAGGCCACACTCACTTTGCCAGTCACTTCTTGGTCGGAGGAAGAGTGCAGAGAGGGGAGGGAGAGGGAGATTGACTGGAGGCGACAGGAGCACTTGTTCCCGATTCATACGAGTCAGTGGATTGAACCAGGCTGTGTACAGAACACGCACAGTCTGTTTGCCATCAGCCTCAAAGCGGTTCGATTATGACGGCACAGCACCACCACCACCACCAATAGTGATGATGGTGGCTGATAAGCGGATGGCAACTGCCGCTGGAAAAGCCGCCGTACAAGACATATTCTGGGTGGACACTGACCTCCCTCCCCTCCGCTCTTCTTCCTCCTCCTCCTTGGCGACGACTCAGCGTATATACCCTACTGATAACGATTGGCGCGGTGAAGGACCACTGGCACTTTTGTTGTGATGATGATGATGGGAAGGAGGTTCGCTTCCAGCAATGTGGAGCCATGTGAACGCCATCCAACACAGATATTTCAATCAAATGAATAGAATAGTTTGGCCTGCTCGGGTGGTGATTAGAGCAGGGCAACTTGATCCACAAAGCATATCTACAATTAAATATTTATATCAAACCTGCGCTACGTTTAATTACTGAAAGCACCATCAGCACTGACTATCGCACTGTGTGGGCGCAGTTGACAACACACAGGCACACTCCAGATTGTAATTACCACCGTCGTCTAGCGCAATTGTTCCTAATGGATCGTGTGATCAGGGTTACTGGCGCGGTGTTGCAAGGTTGCAGATGGCAAGAGAGATAGTCTGTCTGTTGTCGTTTGCTGGCAGCGTCAGCTGTGTTTTGGAAGCTTTCACACTCACCTACCTATTTAGGGTGGCTGGTAAATTGTGCATTGTTTTGGGGGAAAACGGCGACGGTGATGATCCCAAACGGATGAGAGGAAGGATGCTGGGGATCAGGTCATTTGCGCTGATCTGTTGACAGCTGTTTGTTGGGTTGCAGCATTGGTGTCATCGCGCTGTCACCGACAGTCCTCCCCTGCCTTGTGCGTCCAGTGTTGTTGTTGCTCGGTGGTGTTGTTGTTGATAGTCTCTTGAGGTGTGCGGCCAGAGCGAGCAGGTGTGAGTGGTGATAAGGGTGCACTCGAAGTGTTCACTGCTTTGGGTTTACTGAAGTCAGCGCAGAGTAAACATCGACACTCTTCCTGGGAAACACTTTGGCACGGCTACTCGGCTGCTACAATTCAATGAATGATAGCAATTTGGAGTGTTTGTGGCCAAGCCCAATGAGCGCCAACGACGAGTGCCCATGCGCTAAAAAAGCGAAAACAGAAAATACAAAACTGCCGTCGCCAAGTACTTGTTGGCGGTCCATTTGGAGCGTACTGCTTGCCCCTTTCCCTCACTGACGCCTACAGCCGGTGACAGGCTGTTGACAGGCTTTTAGCGGAGGATGTCACACTCGATGACAGCAGGCGCCAGGTTGACCTTGCACTGTCCCCAGAGAAGAAAGGTGACACGGCTGCTGGAATGCGTCCTTTTCTCCCCACTTACGCTGCAATGGAATGCAGCGCCTCATTAGCATATGTCGGTTCTCCTCCCGTCTGAACACGTGCTTTTATTTATAAAATTACTGTCATTAACTTCACATAACCTGTTCATTATTTCCAATTGACAGTAATTGCTGTTTCATTGATAGATGACTCTTTTCATCTGAGGAAACTTCAGTGCGTTTCAAAAGATGTCTTTTGTATGCTATTTCCACCATAGTGTAGAAACGGTGCAAACATGTGTTTTGGTATTTCGGCAAAACATTGAACTTGCATTTCGTGATCGGGTGTGTTTGGACCAGTTATTCTTCCAATCTCCAAGGTTGAGCCATGTCAAAACTAAAGTCAGCAAAGAAGGGTCTTGAGAAGGTCATTCATAGCACCCCGTTGCGCATTTGGATCGGCGCCGCATCTGCGCAACCCGGCCCACCGCTCGGACCGCAACTCGGTCAGGTTTGTTATTGATGTTTTGGTATCAAATATTGTCGTATCTAACTCCTCTTTTTCTCTCCAGAGAGGCATAAACATTGCTCAGTTTTGTAAAGACTTTAACGAACGAACAAAGGACTATAAAACTGGCACTCCACTTCCATGCACCATCAGTGTCAATGTATGTTTCTGCTTAACGGGTATTTTGGTTCTCTAATGCACCATTTTACATTTCAGTCTGATCGAAGCTATGAAATTCAAATTCGTGTTCCACCACTTACATACTTTATTCGGCAGGCTACTGGACAAGATCGCCTAGCAATGGACCAGAGCAAAGAGGTGTCAGGTATACTGAGCCTGAAGCATGTCTACGAGATTGCAAAAGTGAAAAGCACCGATCCACTGTACGATTGTGTGCCTCTGAAAAATATTTGCGAGGAAATCATTGAGGAGGCCTTTAAGTGTGGCGTGAAGGTAGTAGACAAAATCGACCCTGACAAGTATGCTAAATTTATGGCTGAGAGGCGCGAAATTGTCGCCAAACAACTCAAAGAACTGGAAGATGTGCGCCAATCTAAGCTTCTGCGAACAGCCTAGTTGAAGCTTTCATTTTCATTTTGTAATATAGTCAGATTAAAGTGATAAGATATTTGGACATTAGAGTTCAAATGTTATCGGTGAACCATTGCAACTCTGTTATGTCATCCTCAGCATCACAATCAGTCCTCAATTCTTACATCCAACAAGTGACAGTAGCTGCCGCCGCCACCGCCGCTTGCCCCGCGGCCTCGCAATGCGCCAATTTCTTAATCAGTCACAGGCAGTCAGCTATTGATACCAGCGGCATTAATTGCATTTTCAATTCCCAAAATAGACTCATCAACTGTGCAAGACTGTGCCTATCGTCTACTGGCGTATTTTACAGCAAGGAAAGGGAACTTGTCAACTAAACTACTACTGGTTGGGATGCCTTCCTGATAATCGGAGAAGCAGTAGTAGTAGGTGGCACCTTAGTTGGTGAATTTAGCCAGCCTGAATAAAGGACAGTTGTTGTTGTCAGGCTGCATCACTCTCTCCGCATCTGAAGACCTTGGGCGACATGTGCTGCGAAAGATGGTGGTGAAGAAGACGCAGGCACGGGAGCTCGGCAGCTGCACAAGCGAAGCCAAGTCAATCCAGCAGCGCTGGTCGATTAGTATGGCAGCAGTGTGATACAGTGAAACTCACTGAGAGAGTGGTGTAGAACTATCTTCTCTGCAGGCTGAACCTGGCGCGATCCGATCCTCTTTCTTTCCTTCCTTTCCTTTCCTTCCTTTCCCTTCCTCTCCCTTTATTGTACACTGTCTTGTCGCCTGCGGTGGCAGTGGTGCTGGTGGCGCCCTGGTATATAGCGCGCGGAATGACTCGAGAATGCGCCCTGATCAGGGCTGGCTGGTTGGCTGTGATGGCTGCCATGAGTAACAAACAAAAGTTGTGCCCCACTGAGGAGCATTGCTTGATAAACGAACTCTTTGCTGTGGGGCTACACACTGTTTTGCCGCACATGTCTGGTCGCACATGAAGATCGACTGACTGCGACGCTGACAAAGAAAGGGGGCTCCAGAGGTGCTGCTGTTGTCGGCGTCGTTGCAGCCATTGCCTGTTTGTCTGTTTGCAGCCCTGGCCATCCTGCAGCAAAAGCAGCAACGAGACAACAGAGAGGTGCAACTCCACACAGTGACTGCAACAGTGGCTGCTGCAGCAGCACCATCAGCTTCTTTCACACGGCATGTCGGCAACGGTGGACAGCATCTGAATGAACTGCCTGCGGCTGCAGCACCAACAGCACCACCACCACCACCACCAACACTACTACCACTGACGATCACTGTCAATCGATGCAGCGTTCTCCTTTTCCTCTGCTTCTGCACAGCCTGACAACCACCCACTTGTCCTCGCCACCCAGGCCTGGCTTCAAGTGACAATACAGTGCTAAAGAGCGGCGCACCACCATCTAGGCGCTGTCAGCGAGAGAACAACTGAACGAGAGGCACTGTCTGTGTCTCATGTTATCCCGGCTAAGCCCAGCACACACACACACACACTGCAGTGCACATTCGCCACACCGGGCAACTTCGCTTCAACAGCAGGCACAACATCCTCATCAACGAAGCTCTGACTCATCATCAGCATTGGGCGCCAGTGAAAGGGTAATGTGAAATTGGCTGTCGCCCAGTGCTTCTTCACCTCGCCAACTTGCCCGACCAGTGGTCGCAACTAATTGACTGCGACGACCAGCGCACAGGCACTCGCACTGCAGCTGACAGTGAATCGAAAGGCTGATCACGTCTGCAGCAGTAGAGACCACTGTACTGCTGTCAGCAGCACCAAAGTTCACCCTCTCTGGAACAGTGTTCACAAGCGCACTCTTGGTCCACCCAGTGCTTGCGCACCCATTTTAGCGCCTCTCTGCCGCGCCTTCTTGTGGTCTCACCAAGTCACCGCCACCACCGCCATCAGCAGTGGCAGTCGCTGGCCAGTGAACTTTTGGTGGGCGCCATTCACCTGAAGACGAAGAAGGATAAGAAAGAGGCAAATGTGTGTATGTGTCTTTGATTACGACTGCACAGAGCACTAGTGTGAGTGCACTTTTGCCTATTGGTCAGCGCAATGCTCAGTGACAGCATTCAAATAGTACAAAGTGTGTCAGAAAGCAGCAGCAGCAACAGCAGAAATGGATGAAGTTTTCCAGTGAAAGTACATCAACTCATGTGCGCCGCCCAGACGCTGCTTTCTCGAACTCCCAAGAAGTGACTGCCCAGTGGCAATCAACAGTGTCATCACGTCTTCATTGGCCTCAGTAGCAGTCACTGTCTGTCATTCGCTGCACTGTATCTGTCTTGCCCGTATCTCTTCCCTCGTCGTCCAATCTTAGACGCGCGCGCGAAGTAGCAATTGCAGCAATCTTTAAATTTTTGCATGCCGTTAGTTGGCCAGATTGCCTTCTAAACAGTGTGCTTCTTCTTTTCCTCTTTTTCTTTTTCAGTAGTGTGATCACCAGTGATTGATCATCAGATTCCTCCGGCTACGCTTCTGAACGACCAGTGCCATCACACACACACAGACACATAGAGAACACTGAGCAACACTGAGTCTCCTCTTGATTAGCTGCGCTTATCAGCACATCTCCCAACTCGGTCTCACTCTGCACCTCAGCTCTCACTGAATGACTCTCTGGGCGATGTAGTGGCACACTCCAAGCTCAAGTGCTGGTTGCTTGTTGTCTTTGCCCAGACTGTTTGTGATTTCCCTTGCTGCATATCAGGCACACATATAACACACACATGCACACAGAGACACACTCAGACAGCTCCAGCACTGCTCGATGCAAATGGATTGCCAGCGAGATCGGCGTCTCTCACTCTCCCTTCGCTAATGCTCTCCTCTCTACCTATCATTATTTTGCCAGCAACCAGACATGGTCGACATCTGAAGACAGCAGCGACAGCAGCAGCAGCAGCCAACAAGCGCCGCCACTACTGACGACCAATAAATAAACATACCACTTGGACTCTTTACAACACAGACAAGCGGAGACTTTGCTCTTGAGACTCTCTGCCATCTGAGCCATTGAGACATTCCACTGCAGAGCCGCGCATCTACTCACACACACCACTGTCCAGAGAAAGTGCAGTAGTCTCGCTGTGAATAATTCGGCGTCATTCCTTCGCTCGATCAGCAAACACCGGCATCCTTTTTCCTTTTTCCCTCTTCATTCTGCCATTGCATTTCAGTCGAGCACTTGGTGCACATGATCAGTTGAGTGCTGGTGACTGAGTGAACCACCACCAACACCACCGCCACTCGCATCAAGAATTTGCTCTCAGTGAAGAGCTGCATCAGTTTAGTATATTGGCAATGGCCCCAAACATCTTACACCAAAGCATCATTGATCACCATGTTTTCTGACGTGCCATCATCCTTTGTTTGCTGCACCAGCACTAATCAGCACTAATCGCACTGGTACCACCACTTGCCGATTGCGCACAATTTGAGCCGTTCAACATCATTGATGCACTTCTCTCTCACTTTCCCTCTTTGAGCAACATTACGCCTGTTCATTGATTCAGGTCACTTGAATCATATTTCACTTTGTCTTTTACACTTGAGTATGTATGCTAATGTTCCTGCCTCTTGTTCATCTCCACAGTCTAGCAACCATTTATTTGCAATTTTTTCCCTTTGTCAGCAGTTAAAGCGCACAAATTCAAATGGCGACAATGAGCAGAATACGTGTCGGCTACTGGTGGAGTGAGAAGAAGAGTCAGAAGATGAATCTTGCTGAATTGGCTCGACAGTTCACAGAGAAGGGCTGCGAATTTGTCCGCCTTGACCTCGATGCAGACCTTGAAGCTCAGGGCCCTTTTGATGCGATCATCCACAAGCTGTCCGATGTGATGTGCAAGGCTGACCGTGACTCCTTGGCTGCTCAGCAGGTCAAGTCTTTTGAGGTAAGTGTTTGTTTGTTTGTCTTTCTCCCCTGCCCACTCTCTCTCCCCACTTCTCTGCCCAGTGCGAACTGAAACTAGTTCAGTCTAGCTCTTTCTTTGGCGCTCCTCTCTTGCCTTGGATTGCACTGACATTGCAGTGGCATTCCACTTGACCGCTCCATTTCATGTGTCAGCTGATTTGATTTGAATGCACAGGCGTCTGTCACACGACCACCACAGAACGCACAGGCACTCTGCATTTTTTGGCGCGCTCTTGCCCACTCTTGCTCTTCTCTCTATCTAATCGTCTCTCGCTTTCTCCTTTGCATTTTTCTCTCCCTTTCACTGCTCACCACAGAACTACGCAAAGGCCCATCCGGAGGTGGTCATAATCGATTCACTGGACAATGTTCGAAAGGTGCTCGATCGCTCACGACAGTACCAGATCATCGATGACAGTGAGCTGGCCAGTGAGGGTAAGAGTCAAGCGCTGTTCCTCCTTCCGTCACCGACTGTCACTTTCACCTTTGTTCGCCCATGTCTAGATGGAGTCTTTACGCCCACCTTTGTCGAGATGACGTCCACTGATGTGCAGGAGAACCTGAACAAGATGAAGGAGTACTCGGTCAAGTTTCCCTTTGGTGAGTTTGCAGTGTGAGTCGCTCAAATGGCAATCGCTAACTTACCGTACTTTTACCGCCTACCCAGTGTGCAAGCCCATTCTCGCTCATGGAACGAAGTATGCCCACAAGGTAAGTGTGCGCTCACATGACGCTAATCGATGCTGTAGTTGCCTGCCCAATCTAACCGTACTACTGTGCACTGTATACTCTTTCTCTGCTAGATGTCAATCATCTTTGACGAGAATGGCCTGAAAGACATCAATCCACCCTGTGTTGCACAGACCTTTATCAACCACAATGCCCGTCTCTTCAAACTGTTTATCATCAGGGACCGCTACTTTGTTATCGAACGGCCGTCGATTAAGAATTTTAAACCAAGTGGTAAGTGTGCTACTGCTGATAGGAGCAATAGCATTACAACAGCAGCCATGTCGCTGTCAATTGCCAACATCTGCTTTCCACGGAACAGACAAGTACGAAACGGTGCACTTTGACAGTCACGACATCTCCAAGCCATACTCATCATCGGAGCTGACGGCACTGGACGAGGAAGATGCAAAGACGGCGGACATTGCCATTACCCCTGAAAAGGAACGACTGGACCGCATTGTTAAGGTGATTCGCGGTGAGCTGGGCCTCAACTTGATGGGCATTGATGTGATCATTGAAAATGAAACTGGTCGCTATGCTATCATTGATATGAACTCATTCCCAGGTAGGATGATAAATTAGGAATTTTTTGTCATCGATAGTTTAATCTTTTTTCTTTTAGGCTACGACGGTGTTGACAATTTTCTCGAGCTTTACTGTGGCATTGTGATGGAGGACATCGAAGCTGCTCGTCAGTCACAGCTGCCACCACCCTCAACACAGTCGACTCAATCGGACCACAACGGCGCACCAAATGAACCAATCAGTGGGGACAGCAAACAGGCCAACATCTCTAACGGCAAAGTGGGAGCCACCAGCAGTGAAATTGACTCAGGCATCGACACCTCCGACTCGTGTGACGAGAAGAAGCCCAAGTCGGCGAAATCAGAGTCGGCTCAGAAGAAGAAGCAGCACTGTCGTGTTGCCCAATAAGCCAAAGAGATAGCTAGTGAGAGCTAACTATATGAGCCCATTCCTCACTTCCATTAACTAAGCAAACACACAGTGAATAACTTGCTTTCCATTGATAAAGACAAACCATTCATACACTCACACATGCATACAATTCTCCTTTCCTTTTGTTATAACTTTTTTTTTGTTTTACATTACCATTCTTTTTTTGTTTATCAGTTTCAGCGCAGATCTGCGTTTCACCTGGTGTGTTGTTTGATTGCAATTGTTGATGATGATGAACTGGTTGACTGGTTGATTCCTACATCTACTATTTATTACTACCTGACTGTTTGTTACCCTCAGTCAACTCTGTACGCTACAAACCGACCATTTACCTAAGCCTCTTCAGAATCACCCTCTATCCTTTATCACTTTTCCCTCACCCAATTAATCTTCAACTCCAACTTGACTTCATCAGCAGGGAAACAAGTTCACATTCTCGCACACAAGCCAGCATTCACATGCCCATCTCGCAGTATGGCTATTATCTTTTATTTTTCTACCAATTGGTGTTATTTATTTGTACTGATGGCTATTTTACAAATATACCATTTATATACTTACTATTGACCTTCCCATTTGCAATCTGCACAATATGAGATGTATTTGGGAGTTGGCCAATCACAGGAGGACAGTGTTGACAGTGGTGAAGGTATGCGTTCAGTAATGATTACAGTTAGTAATGATATATCGAATATCGATAGCTGCACAAAGGGCAAGAAACACGAACTGAAACGAGTTAGGAAGACTCGTTTTTCGTGTGTGTGTTTGTGTTTGTGTGGGTGTGTTTGAAGGTGAGAAAGTGTGTTCATGTGTGCTCGTTAAAAAGATAGTAAGATGGCTACAAAAGGGGTGAAAAGGAGGAAGAGGAGGAGAGGAGAGGAAAGAAAGGGGAGAGGACTGGAGAGTTGAAGAAGTTACGAAACAGTTAGGAAATGTAAGAGTAATGTACAGAAGAGGTATTGGTAGTAGTGTTGGTTCTGCATCATCACCACTGGGCGGCTAGTGGGTACTCTTTGTTGGGCTTCTGCTGTCCGCACTGGTGGCTGCTAATCACATGGGTAGTAGTAGGTCTGTAAGCTCTGCTTACTTGCAGAACTGCTAAAAAAGAGAGAGAAAGAAGTTTAGTGCTCTTGGAATGTGTGTTGGTGTGTTGTGTGTGGTAGAGATATTGAGTGTGAAGGCATATCGGCAAAGGATGATCGTAGCAGGGAGAGTTGATTTATTTAGAAAGTTTAATCCGGTTACGTTGGGTGTGTTTGTGTTTGCTGAAAACGGTGTCATCGTCGGCTTTTGTTGTTGTCTGAATCAGATAGTCCAGACATTGATCTTCTCGGCGACAATGCACCAGCTGGTAGCGTACTCATTGTAGAAAGAATCGATGATATGCAGATTCTGAATGTGCTCCTCAATCAGGTTCTCCAGTTCGCCTCCGCGAAAGAGGTGAAAGTACCGGTGAAGTGTGGTCGGTGCTGACTGTCCATTGCACTGTTCGCCATCTTCGTCATCACCCGAAGTATCATTCTCATCGTCGTCATCGTCGTCATCATCATCATCATTTTCCGCATCCTGTACTTGTAGTTTTTGAGCTGCATCGTCCGGCAGCTCTTCCAGCTCACCGCCACTATTGAGTGAGTCGGCACTCTTATTGGAAATGGCCGATCGAATGGTCGCCTCGAGAACTGATGAAATGCTGGTGTTGTCGTCAGAGTCAAACTCATCATTAGAAAGATTCTCACAGTAGGCATCATCGTCCGCTTCATCAGAGGGCGAATCATACTGGTCGATTTCATTTGGGGAGACGTCCTCATTGCTGGTCATCAGGTCGCCTTCAAAGTCCTCCAGTTCCAGGTCAAAGTCAGAGGCAAATCCACAGGCTCCGCCGGTGACTGCCACGTCCGCCATGCTGTTGTCTCTGGTGCATCGAGAGTGGTTGGCAGGTATGATCGTCACAAATGACTCCTCACTGTCGATGCTAATCTGCTGTTGGTGTGGCGTGTGACTGCTGCTGTTGTAGCGGTGTGTGCCGATGTTCGGACTGGCTGAGAAGCGACGCGGCAGTTCCGGCTGAAACTTGACCACCTCAGGTTGGTAGTCGGCGCTGAAGCTTCGTTGTCGAAGCAGCTTCTTTGGGAACTTGCCCCCGCCAGCCTGCTGCAGAGTGCTCGGGTTCTCCTTCATCTCATCGGCCAGAGAGCGGTCTGCTTCTGTCTCGCAGTCAGTCTTGCAATCAGACAAAGCAGGACTAGGCGCCACTGGGCTTGGAGGAGGAAGGGGCACTGCTGCAACTTCCAGCAACTCTACGCTGTCGCATTCCGATCTGCTCAACTCCAGCTCGAGCTCCATTTCAGCGAGGAGGCACTCTTTACTTTCTGACTGCTGGCTTGATGGAGTACCTGTTTGATTGTGTAAGCAAAAAAGTGTTAGCAAACATTTTAAAATGAACCATACCTGGGAGTGTCCTACCTTGTCGACTGCCCAACTGTTGTTGAAATTGAAGTTGTTGAAGTGGATCCGAACTGGTCTCGGTTTCCAGCGAGTGCAGATGAGCACCGCCCATAGAACTTGCCGTCTCTGAGCTACTCNCAAGCAAAAAAGTGTTAGCAAACATTTTAAAATGAACCATACCTGGGAGTGTCCTACCTTGTCGACTGCCCAACTGCTGTTGAAATTGAAGTTGTTGAAGTGGATCCGAACTGGTCTCGGTTTCCAGCGAGTGCAGATGAGCACCGCCCATAGAACTTGCCGTCTCTGAGCTACTCTGTCCATGCATCATCATCATCATGACACCTTTGCTCGACGAGGTTGGCTGTTGGTGGGCCTCACCCTCAGGACGGTCAACAATGGTTCGTAGTTCAGGCATTGAGTAGTAGGCGATCAGTTTGTAGCCGGTGCACTCGAAGCTGCGGGAGGAATCGGAAGAGAATGACTTCTGAAGGACCATTCGCGCATCTTTGCCTGGCACTGCTTTACTCTCTGATGTTGCCACTTTTTTAGCTGCCTCAATCGCCACCACCTCCTTTTCTTCCTCTGTCTTCTGTTGTTCAGATGGTCGGACCACAGTGGCCAGAGCAATGGCTTCATGGTGACTTGGCAGTCGTCCATAAAGTCCCTTTCTTTCGCTTACACTGTCGTCTCTTGTCCTGGGCAGTATCACTTGAGACAGATTAAGCTCGACTTGCTTGACGACGCCGTCAATTTCAAAGTTTGCCATCACTGGCTTACCACCGATGCCGCCCTCATTCACCGCGTACACCTTGTGCTTGTTCTTGCCGTGGCCCCGCACTACACTATTGCTGCGTGTTGATAAAGATGAGCTGAGGGTGCCACCGCTTTTGCGGTGCTGCGGCAGATGATGCTGTTGATGACGCTGATGATGCTGGGGGTGATGAGGGTGATGAGGGTGATGGTGGTGGTTATGAGTGGCCCTGTTTTCAGCGGGGCCGTTTCGAAGGCTGGAGGGTAGACTGAGGCGATGACTTGGCTGAGTCTGATCGACCATGTCTGCCGTTTCATAAATGGGCGTCTGATGTTGACGGTACTGCATCTGCTGGTGTTGCTGTCGCCGGTGAGCAGTCCCATCACCGTCAGCCTTGCCGTCCATCGCGTGCCAGACGATGCTGTTGGCGAATTGGACCTTCCAGTTGCTGAGGTGCTCCTTGATGGCAGCCAGCAGGGTGGAGGGAAAGACGGTGCCGTTGAAGTGGTTCACATTGGAGCTCGTTTGACTGAGACACCCTGAGGAGCTGTGGTGGAAGGAGCTGAGCGCCGAATCGCCGGTTGTGGAGGAACAGTTCGAGCTGCACTCACTGCCGGCGCCCTCCTCGAGGTTCCTCAGCTCAATGGGGTACATTTCATCGTGCAGTGACAGTGCAGTGGAGTACTTTGACTTGGCCGAGCTGCCCTCTGAGAGGCTGTTCTTCATTGAGTAGATGCTGCTGGTGATGCTGAAACGCTTTAGTGCTTTTTTCACAAAAGAGTAGCAGTTCTCAAACTCTGAACTGGTGGGACTGCTGGCGCAGTTCTCATAGGCATTGTTCAGTTCGAGGCTAGAGTTGGTCAGACTGGAGCTGTAGCTCTTTGATTCAAAGTCACTGCCACCGCCGCTGAAGTAATTCAGAGCGCCAAAACCGCAATCGCCAGCTCTTTCGGCGTTTCGATCAAATCGAATGAGCACATCTTGCGAGCCAAGGTCTTTGGCACCAGCAGGTCCACTGGTCACCGTAAGCATCACCTTTCCGCCAATCTTCATGACTCTGGCAATCTCTTTTAAGGCATTGAGTCTGCGTTCAGTGGTGGAAAGGTGGTGCAGGACACTGCAGCAGAGGACACCATCAAAGAGCTCATCGCGAAAGGGCAAGTACATCACATCGCCCACTGCCAAGTGGTTTGGGTTGGAGCCGGTGGTTTTGGGTGACGATTTGCAGGTTTCTCCGCCCCGACTGAACCACTCTGCACAGTGCTCCAGACCAAGGACGACAATGTCTGGGTTGAGGTTAAGGTACTTTCCGTCACTGCAGCCCACGTCGAGAAGGAGACTGCCTGGCTCAAATTGCTCCTCCATAAACTGCTTCACCTGTGCATGGACGGCAGGAGGAGTGGTCGAGTCACCGGTGAGGGCGATGGCAGCGTAGACGTCGTGCACGTACGCCTGTTCGAGGGCCAGTGTACGAGAGAGTGACTGGGCGGAGGGCACACGGCGCCTCATCTTCCGCTCCTTGCACACCTCCACACCGACCATCTTTGCGCGAGCTGAGAGCGGTGGTCATCGACGACGTTCTACGGCTAAAGATGTGCTGCTGTTGTTGATGATGACATTCGATGTAATGGGACTGCTGTGGTCGCTGCTGCTGCTGCCACCGCTGCTGTTGGTCCATTGACCACAGTGGAGCTGAATGGATGATCTTGTGCCAAAACTAAGTGACATTATAATGGCTGGAGGTGGAAGTAAAAAATAGAGAAAAAACAGTTACGTGGTGATCTATCAGCTACGAAGGTAAGGAAACTGACCAGGACTCTGATTAAGCGATAAAAAAGAGGTGCTGTTCACAGGTTTGTTGATGGCAGCGTGAAAATGAGTAAGAGTGCTCCTACATAACCCTCGAGGTGTTGTCAGAAGCAGTGTCAAAGTGTACAGCTGTGACAGTGTAGAGGGAAGCAGTGAGCAGAGCAGATCAATCACCAATTTGGGTATAGGTGATTAGCTCGTTTGCAGTGCTGCTGCTGTTGTGTGTTTATGCTGACGGCGGTGGTAGTGGTGAGGCAGGCGACATGAAGCCAACGATAATTAAGTTAAGCAGCTCTTGTAGGTCTGCAAATCTTCTAACCAAATAGAACACAATAGAACTGTACATGGACCAGACGAGGGCGATCATTTGTACAGGGAGAAGAAGGAGAGAAAGAGAGAAATCATTTCGTGTCTTTTCCCATTTCAACACCGTCTGGTTTGATTTGCAAGCGCTGACGTCAAAGAGGACTGGCCGATATATGCCAAGAGAAAAAGAAGCAGCAGAGAAGTGTACGACAGTGTACGAGGTGAAGTGACGGAGAGAAACGGGAGAAAGAGAAAACAGGGGCACCAAGGAGACCGACCGAAGTGGAAAACATATATAGGAGTCTGGCTAGCTGACGCCGATGATCACTTTTTGCTTTAGCCGCTTCTCTGGCACACTGGCACACTGAAGAAAAAGAAGACTAAAAACTGTGTGCATGTGTGTGTGTGTGTGTGCACTTGGCCGTCTGCTGGAGCAGCTGCAACGGCTCCGATTGGTCTGCCTCTCTCGGACACTGACTGACCGAGACTCACCTAGTAACATGGTCACCGATCGATCACTGACACAGTCGCCCGAATGCCAGCTTCCACGCTCCACTACAGTCCGATCAGGTGAAATTGAACTGTCCAAAACATGGCACTGCCTACGCTGAGCCGTCTCGAGGCAAAGATTCTCTGCGGCCATAGCCCTCTCATTTCTTTCTCTTCTTCCTGGTGAGAGCCACTGGCGCCGACAAAGTTCAATCGTTGCAATGTCACTCATTCGCGCAGCACATTTTGGGCGTCGAGCATCCATTCGCGCATGGCCCGCCAAACTAAATAACCTACTCACTGACAGCAACCATATCGAAAGGAGATGGAGAGAGAAATAGAAGAAAGGAGGAATTAATCAAATAGCCGGCAGTTCCGTCAGATTGAAAATTGCTTCTATTTATTACTATTGACAAATGTAGGCGTCAGTGGGGCGCCTGCGCCCGGTGCTGACGCTGACTAGTGCGCAGTGCTCTCAGTGCACGCGTCTGCCGTCACTCCTTGAGGGTGTACTGCTTGTCCTGTTTGGCGAGGAACGCCTCCACCACGTCCTGAACCGACTTGGGCAGTGTCTCCTTAGGGACACCCTCTATTGGTGAGCTGGGCTTCAGGCACACAGAAACGGTGGTCTTTGGATGACGCCTTGATCTGCTGATGCTGTCCATGCTGCCCTTGCGACTTTTCAACAGCTGAGTGCTGCTGAATCGTGAGGGCACCAGCTTCAGTACCTGCTGACTGTGGCTGCTGGTGCTTTTGCTGCTTGTGCTGCCCTGATCCACCTCCACCTTGGCCTCATCAGTAGCAGTGCTCACGATGGCAGTCTTCTTGGCCTCTTCGGTTGAGAGCGGTGGTCCACTGGGCTGCTGTTGCTTGTGTACACTCAAAGTAAGACGACCACCGATACCTCCGCCACCCTCAACAATAGGATTATTCTCAGCAGGAGTCGAATTATTCTGGAAGGCCTGCTCTTCATTAAGTGACTTGGGCGTGTCAGAGGGTGTGCGTGTAGCGTGCACTGATGGCGAGTAGATCTTTTCTTTGGCGCTGTCCTCCTTCTCACAGTTCCAAAAAAGGTGCTTGTTGTCAAAGAGCGGATCGGACTGAACTCGCTTGGCGCTCTTTTTCTCGTTTTTCTCTTCGAGAGGCATGGCAATGGTAGTGAAGGTGAATGCTCGACTGGTCTAACCTGGACAAAAACAGTCTCATTTTACAGCGCAAATCACGAATTGTTAGAACAACATCGCTAATGATGAATCAAATAGCAAAACCGCAAACATTGCAATTAGAACAAGCACAATCTGACGCCCACTGGGCTGGACTGTGCTTTGATTAGCAAGTGAAAAAACTGCTGCCTTTTTCTGATGTACAAAAGCCAAGTGGCAACGAATGTGTTGCTCAATCATTAGAGCGACAGCAACAGCATTACAGCAGTCAGTGCAATCACTCTAACCACTTCACTCATTCAAAACTGGTTGCGATGGTTGTGGTGGATGTGCTAAAGTAAAGCGAGGTGGCACACGAGAGCTACCACAACAATCACAACAACAACAACAACAACAACAGCAGCCTGCAGTACTCTGACAAGCACAGTGTGCTCCGTCACCTGGGCGAAGACCTCGAGTGAAGTCATTTGACGGCTGGGAAAACACTCTGTCAGTCTGTCGACCGGTAACACACACTCACGCTGACACTCGTAGGTACGGTGGCCTTTATCGTACAGCGGACATTGCAGTCGCCAGGACAACGCGTTGTCTCCTCACCTGTGAATTGTTGTCGGTGTCTTCTCTGCTTGGGTAGCATTCACTGCCGTGGGAGAGAGAGGGAGAGGGAGAGAAGATAGCACTGGCAATGCATGCCAGCAGAGAATACACACACACAACGTCACAGCTACCTACTGCTGGTTGCCCCAGGTGCTGATAAGTCCGACTACTGATTACCTGCTATTTTGCCGGCTTCAGCTGACAACCACACAGACACGCAGAGTGGCCATCGGCAGAGTACCAGCTGACGAACAGAACAACATCGTTTTTGGCAAGCATGGTTCGAACGAGTGTCATCGGAGCGGGAACGCTTGGCATCAAAATTGCCGGTGAGCAGTGTATTTGAACACAAGCACATTTATCGTAATTTTTCAACCCTCATCACCTCATTTTCATCAGGCTATCTCGCCTACAGAGGCCATGAAGTTAGAATTTTCGACAGTAACAGCGCCGTGTTGAACACGGTCAATCAGCGAATCAGCGAAGATGCACGCATCTTCAAAGAGGACGGCATCATGGCAAATGTCAAGTTTCTCGTATGCTTTATACCCAACTTTTTCCATTGCAAATCGCTAAACTAACTTACCTTAAAGGGAGACATTTACTCGTTCAGCAAACTCGAAGACGCCGTTCGTGAAGCTGTGTTCATCTTTGAGTGCATTCCTGAAGACCTGACGCTGAAAAGGGAAATGTTCAAACGTATGTGCTACCCATCACTCGCACACATAGTGACCAATCATTGAATCGTTGCAGAAATCGCCCAGCATTGCAACGAAAAGGCTATTCTGGCGACGAACACAATGCGCATCACAGTGGAGAAGATATTTGAAAATCTCGACTGTACAGATGTAAATGTGATTGCTTGAGAGTTAAACCCCAACATAGTTTACTTGTCTTGCAGAGATGCTTGGGAGTGAGGTTCCTATTTCCGGTCTACTACGTGCCTGAAGTGGAGATCTCTCCGCTACGGGCGTACACTTCAGTGGAAACGTTAGAAAGAGGTAGGAGTGAAGGAATGAGGTTCAAACACAACAACATCACAACTGAAATGATATCAATTTGCAGTAAGACAGTTTCTCGAAAAGATGGGCCAGATTGCCTTCTTCCGCTCCGGCAATGAGCCAATCGTGCTCAATGAACAGCAGCGAAACTCTCGCAAAGAAGGTAACAGATATTTGCAGAATAGCACAGTGGCTAACACAGGTGTTTATAACCCTTCAATTAGCCTGCATCAAGCAGTTGATGGAAGGCAAAAGCATGAACAATCGATTCTCACAGAACATCCCAAACCTGGGAGGCGTCCAGCCGTCGTCCGCCAACTCCGCCACCGAGTCCGCAGAGGAGCTCGCCAATGGTGATCGGCAATCACTGATCGGACGCAATAATGAGTGCGTCATTTGTATGGACAACCAAAGAGGTGCGTTGAGGAGTCGTTGCATTTTGCCAAAAGCTTTTAATCTTTTCTTTACTCTCTCCAATCACCACCTTACTTAGACTGTGTCCTCCATCCCTGTCACCATCTTTGCGTCTGCATCAAGTGCGGCCGATTGCTGCTCAAGCGAACTGACAGTTGTCCTATTTGTCGTCGACCAATTAGCAATGCTTTTCGGATTTACCATTCCTAAGTCGGTCCCACGTCTAAATCTCAACAACAAATATACTCAAGTTTACAATAAATATTTATTTATAGTTCATTATAATATACATTTGTTGTCTGAAAAAAAACTGTTCATACTTACAAAACAACTGAACTACCGACGTTTCCGTTTGTTGTTATATGCAGCTTTGCTGGTACCGCTTCTATTGTTATTGTAGTAGTTGCTCTTTTGTTGATACTGGTGTTGCTGCTGTGCAAGCGACTCGGTCTTTGGCCGTATGTTTTCTGGAGGTGGGTCATTTGTTGGATCCCATAGAGCATTGCGAATAAAGTTTTGGGCAGCTTTTAGATTCAACTTTGGAGCAGACTTTTTTAAGAGCTCCAGCTCTTGATAATACTTCCGCACACGGCCAAGCTCATCCTTGATAGGATGATCTCCCAGTTCGGTACCTTTTAGCGTAAGATACAATCCATAAAGAGAAGCGTTGGCAACGGAACAAGTCACATTGGCATCCAATTTGTTCATGACGTTCTCACTGTCGTCAGGTAAGTCCATGAGGTCAAAATAAAAATCTGAAAACGTCGCAGACATTTGCTCCAGAGTTTGCATATTTTCGCACAGTTGTTTCAACTGCTGGTTTAAATCATCCGTTTGATCGTCGATGGCCATGATGAAGATGATTTAGATTGGATAACTTGAAGACCAACAGCTACAAAATAAGCAAAACAAAAAACTCGCTGCGAAACACGTGCCAAATTACGTCAAGGCGCCCCCTGGAGGAATAAAAAGTTTCTATGAGACCGTGATCGGTCGCACTTATAAAAAACTTAAAACTTTTACCTTTCCTAAACAATCTCTCAATAAACGTTATTTAGCAGTTTAGCGTTTTTAAATTCTGCATAAAATATAAAATATGATTGAGCAAAAATAACTTACCACTGGTGTTTTGTGCAGAACTCGTGTCCTTATCAAGGTGGCGCTGTGATCGTCAATGGGGTAAACTGCGCACGCTGCCTTTGCAAACACGTGTTCTTCACTTATCTCTCATGCGAAACGCTCATTTTTGCACTCTACTCGTAATTTCGAAATTATCAGTCAGTCACCTTTTGTTTAGACTCTCATCATTTTCAGCAGAAAAAATTGATCCAGGTTTGCATTTGAATTCCCCCTCATCAATTCTATTTCAGATTCTTATCTAACGTTTGGAAAAGTGTGCAACAATGGTTTCCAGCTCAAAAGAAGGTGGCTGTCCGCCGACCATAATTATTAATATTGAAAACCTAAAGAAAACCTTCTGTAAGACAATTTTGAAACATTTTATTTCCATTTTGATATTTACCAAAATAACTTTGTAGTTCAGAGCCAATCCAACGTTGACGAATACTGGGATCTTCTTTACGAATTAGACAAGATGCCAGATCCTATTAAACCTGATTTGGGCAAATTTATTATGGGCAAGCTCAATGAGTGGTTCAAATTGAACAATTCCACTCTACAATACGTTGAGGACTCGCAAGTCAAAAACAAGGAAAATATTACATCATTTAAGCCTAGAAAAGAAGTAGAAGAAAAAGAAGAAGATTTGAGAAATAAATCAATGTCAACTTTGACAGTTGCTAATTTAGGAAGCCTTCATGGGATTCTTATCGAAAGTATGAGTCCAAACGGATTGTATGAAATTGACACTAGCGAGCATGCCATCAAGTTAAAGACTTTCACAAACTTGCCTGCCTATCTTCTGATTGCCAATGAAGAATGTTCTNCGCCAACTTTGACTGTTGCTAATTTAGGAAGCCTTCATGGGATTCTTATCGAAAGTATGAGTCCAAACGGATTGTATGAAATTGACACTAGCGAGCATGTCATCAAGTTAAAGACTTTCACAAACTTGCCTGCCTATCTTCTGATTGCCAATGAAGAATGTTCTGGCTCGCTGTTGGACGCTCCAGTTTTTGACAACACTCCTGTGCTTGTTCCGACCACTTTTTAAGCATGAAAACTTAATGACCTTTTCATCATCATCATTGCCTCTTATTCAGCGTTCTCGGCAATTTATAAATGTCAAAAGTTTATATTTATTTTGCCAAATTCACTCACTCTATAATTTCATTTGAATAAAATCAAACAATTTTTATTATCTGACTAAGGCCATCAGTATAAGAAGTTGGCAACAAATTGGTTACCGTAACAATGAATCTTCAACGAGCGCATTGAGTACGTCAAGTTGATGGAGATGGATGTGTGGCAGGGAGAGACAGGAAAAGATGTGAGTGTGTGTGTGTGTGCAAAAAGAAGTTCAAGTGAGCTTAACAATGACAAAGCACTACAAAGAAGCGGCCAAGTTGCCAAACACTTGCAAGTGCACTGAGTGGCCGAAAGTCGTCAAATACTGAAGCGGGGTTGAAAAACGGTTGTCAAGAACGTGTCCTCTGAACACTGCCTTCAGACCAGTGGCGAGAAATATAACAAAAAGATCAGGACTTCAGAACGAGGGGTGGTGGAAGTTTACAATACTCAAACGGAGAGTTTAATACACCAAACCAAGGATTGCAAGTTGGGCACAGACAAAGAAGAGGAAGTGAAAAAAGTGGGAGGAGAAAAGAAGAAGTAAATAAAAGATAAACAAAACAAAAACAGACAACTCAGAGCTGAGGACCAGAGAGGGAGACCAACTACAACTGAAGACAAGCGGAGAAAAAGGGGGAAAAATGAGACACATCGATTGACAAATTAAAATAAAACGAGGGAAAGTGGGAGTGACACTGTGACAGGGACATATTTGAAAGAACTCGCTCAGAGGCGGGCAATGTGGGGGAGGAGAGGAGAGACTATGGTGGTGGTGGTGGTGGTAGGTGATGGTGATGGTGGTGGAAACAGGAGCCAACCCAGAAACCGGTAAACTGTACAAAGAGGGAGAAGGGGAGTAAGGGCCAGTGCAGCTGCTGCAGCAGCGTTAGACGTCGACGACCATCTTCTTGTGAATGTCCGTGTTGCCGACCACCTGAGGGAAATAGTGAGATAGGAGGAAGGTGTGAGAAAGAATGTTTCAGTCAATGAAAGGCACTTACATTGCAGAACTCTTCAAAGGATATTTTGCCGTCCTCGTCCTTGTCAGCAAAGAGAATCGTCTTGTCGACAATCTGCTGCAGCTGTGTGTCCTTCAGGTTGTTGCCCACCATCATCTTCAGCACTTGGAAGAGCTCGCCGTTGGAGATGAAGCCATCATTGTCCATGTCGTAGATGCGAAAGGCGACTGAAAGGATGGCACAACAGAGGCGATGGTCAAATAAAAATGTAGGGGCTTTCTCTCCGACAAACACTTACACCTCAGCTTCGACTCCTTGTCGCCTTTGACGCTGAACTGCGACACGCCTTGAATGAACTCTGCAAGAAGGGTAAGTCGTCAGTATGGTGCTGCTTCTCGTTGAACCTCCATTGAGTATGATAGCTACCTTTGAAGTCCACCTCTCCGTTTCGGTCAGTGTCGAATATGTCGATCACTCTTTGCACTAGTGGATTCTGCTGAAGCTCAGGTAATGACATGAACTCGTCGATGCTGAGAGATCCCGAGTTGTCAAGGTCGAGCTTGCGAAAACGCTTGCCTAGCCTTTTGATCTCATCAGCGTCAACTGTTATCGGCAGATTAAAGAAAGGAGAAAAAGGATGACGTTAGAGGAGATGAGATAAGGACAAACCGCTGAGACACGTCAGTTTTAGCCGTCAGCACAGTGGGTCTCACTTACAGTTGGAACACATTTCCATTGGCAGAGATGCTTCGTTACCCTTGAAATGAATAAGAAAAAGGTACAGCGGTTAGTAGTGTGATTGGTAGTGTGAATGAAACTTCTTTCAGGTCGATCGAAGGTGGTCGTCGACTCGCCAGTGGCGAGCCAGTTGCCACCGTGAGCATTTATACCATTTTGATTTGCTGGTGCTGGTCTGCGGGTTGGGCCGGAAGAGGGACAGGTAGTAATAAATAGAAACGAAGGGAAAGTGGAGCAAGAAGGAGCGAGAGAGAGAGAGAGCGAATGGTACAAAAATAACTAATAGTAATTGGCAGATTCGATTCGGAGAGAACACCTGCAGGGAGAAGATTGGAACGACAGTCTGGCACGATCGGGTGATGAAGACGGCGGTGATCAGTGCTTGTGGTGGTGGTGTGCTGCTGCTGTACTGCACTGTGCTGGTCGTGCCAATATTCCTACGAGTTCCCTCTCACAGTAGTCACCAGCAGGGACTGATGACTGGTGGTGGGTAGTAGTGGTAGTTCGGCTGGTAATTGCAGGGCTGCTTCACTCTGCAGACACTGTCTTCACTCTCTGATCTCTTCTTTTAGGCTCTCTCTCTCTCTCTCACTCCAGTCAGCTCTTCGCCCACAGTGGTTCCCTGGCACTGGTCAGCGGCAGAGTTGAGTGATGCTAGGTTGATTACAGAAGACTGTGGTCACCTCCCCAGTGCTCCTCTGGTCTCAGTGCTGGTGATCGGTGAGCTGAGCCGACTAGTCGCGTCTGAAGCCGAGGCCGTCCCTTGTCGCTCGTTCGTTCACTCTGTCTCTGGCTGCTGGTCTTCAGCGCTGGTCAGGGGAAGAACAACTGTGGAGCAGTGGCTGGGTGTCCTGGATCAGTCAGTCAGTCTGTAGAGCAGTAGTTGTCTGTAGTGGGCAGGAGGAGTGCAGGCCAAGAAGAGTGTGCCACTGCTGCCGCTGCTACTGCTAATCGAAGCACGCATAAACAGCACAGACCGACTGCTCAGACACTGGCTCGACCAGAATTTTGAACGAGATGCAGAGAAGGCAGAGTGAGTGAATGAAAGAAAG